CTCTGCAATCCACATGGAGCAAGCACTGGGAAAAGAGAGTTTGGGGGGGGGGGGGTATTGCAAGCCATAAAAATGCATAAAAGCATGTGTTTGTGTGGCTTATACCAAGGTCCAAACATCACTTGCATGGAAAATATGTCCAAGAATTTGTAAAATATGACCCGAAACCCAATGCAAATTCAAGTAGCACGAGCAATGATGAAAATTTCCCAATATTTCCAATTTTCCAATCAATATGGGAAGTGGTAAAATTTCTCTAGAATCTTAGAGGAAGTTCATATTATGTGGATAAATAAACAAAATTATCAAAAATAATCGAGAAGTATCAAACATTTTCCTAAAGTACAATTGATCTCATTTTCTGAAAAACATTGATAGCAAGATGATTTATTTTTTTCAGAAAAAAAAAACAATACTACATAGTACATCAAAATACTGAGCGATTTTCCTTAAATTCAGAGAACCGATATTTCTTACCTTGGGTACAAGTAAATAGAGCAAATGTAGTCTCACGGGTTATTAGAGGAAACAATGAAGGCAAAGCGTAAAGAAATTTAAACTTACCGGCAAGGTCAGGATTAGTACGTGTAAGCTTGAGCCAATCCATTTGGCTATAGCCCTTTTCAAAAGGGACCTTGGCCCGAGCAACAGGCTCCCTACCCACAAGCTTCTGTGCAGCTTTTTCATTTGATGAGCTTTCAGTACCATCTGGAGCTGACTGTTTTGCAGCTTCACTAGGGTGCATTTGAGGAGCTGTACTGATGACATTGAAGGACAAGGATCCCATCACTTCTTCCTTCTTTGCAGCGGTATAATAAGGAAGCTTGTTATTCCATACTCTAAACTCATCTTTGCTTTGCCTACTTGAAGCGTCCTCTTCTAAACTGATGTTTCTTATTCCAGGAACCACCGTTTGTTCATCAGAACTATTTTGGTCAGGGGGTGCACTGACCTGTATATTAAGAAATAAGGTTTTTTCTTCAAGTTTAGATGCGACGTAGTGTTCATTTCTTATGTTCTTGCTAGAAGAGTCATTATTGATAACGTTTTAATTTCCCTTAAACAATGGACTAGATCGAAATGGCACATCAAACATCCTTTGCATCTTACTTTCAATGATGTTTTGACCCTCTAGATCCCAACGGTGTTGATATTGTATTGGGCTTTGGTGTTTTGTTGTTAAAGTTCATACAAGACTTCACAAATACAAATCATCCACCAGGATGAAAGCATGAAGATGCGAACCAAGTTTAGATGCATAGTAATAAGTGTTCTAACTTGCCTGGCAAAATGTAAAATCATTATCTTTGTCGCTTTCCATTTTACAAGCAATCAACTCCACAAACGAAGGAAGACGGTTCTCCTGTCCATCCAAGGAAAAATCACTAACATGAGAATAATCCCTTATCTTAATACTTTCTTTGGATTGATGGGAAACCTAATCTAGCAAGTTGCATACCAGAATATAGCAATTAATGGATGAAAGAAACAAAGGAGAAGAAGCTGCAATTCATTCAAATTGAATCTATTCCATTGATTGACTTATAGCTCTAGAATAAGATTCAGTCTAATTAACTTCCCATTACCCAATTCAACCCCAATTTATAACATTATTCACACTTATGTAGTTTTTGCAATCCAAGACCTAAAAAATATGGATGACATTAACAAAAAGGGGAAAATTATAATAAAAAAGCAGAAGAAAAGTGGCAAAGCTAGCAAAGATCCTAACTTTGAATAGGGTTTCATCAATCAATCAAATGCATAATTGGTAATCAAGGAATCAAGGCAAAAAGAGTGATAAATTACCAATAATTTTCGGAGATATGAAATCCAAAGAAAAGATGATAACTTTCGCGGGGTGAAGACAAATCACTCGCGAAAAAAAAAAACACTCAAAAATAAGGAACGCACAACACAAAGCGTAAAAACGATGAAAACCAGAGACAAAAACAGGATAGAAGAATGATTATACATACCTGAGAAATCAATCGGAATAGTTGAGGGCTAAACCCAGAGATGAGTCTAACTCAATGATTTTGTAGCTTTGACAATAACAAAAAGGTTAGTTGAGAAATCAGACTAAAGCCTGGTTTGGAATAAGATTTTCTATTAGCATAAATTTTTTGAATAAAATTTTAATAGTTTTAATTAATATAAAATTGCTAACGTTAAAGACTATCATTAAATAGTTGAGAAATCAGACGAAATTCTTTTTTGGAAGAACATTTTTCATTTGTTTAAATGTTTCAGATAAAATTTTAATATTTTAAATTAATATCAAAATGCTAACGTTAAAGACTATCGTCAAGTAGTCTTTTGAAGACGTTGTTACCATATAATGTTATACTAAACGTGGCCTAAAACATTTATAAACACCTTCTATACCATACATTTTGATATACGATGTTTTCCATATATTCACATGAATACTTATTTTCAAATAATTGAATATTCATTTTTTAATGTTACAAAGTACACAAACGGAGAATCTAAACATGCAAAGAGTGATAATGAAATAAGCTTAATTAAAATTTAAGGACGACAAGATAGACTTGAGTCTGCGATGCCAAGTAGGCACTATAACTGGTTGACGCAAAGTTGACATGGGCTTAGAAGGGAGAGTGTATAGTCTATGTTCACAAGGGCTCATGTACCATACCCGTTTTGTGGCGTTATCCACTATTTGAAAATTCTTGGCACTAAAAACAAGGGCACAATTCGGTCTCTTCAACTTATTTTTGCTACTTAGTTTTTATTCTTATCGGATTCAGATCAATTGAGATCATATCAGTTTCATTCAGATCAGTTCAGACCAAATCCAATTAATTCAGATCAATTAAGATCAGATCAAATTCATTCATATCAGTTAAGATCAGATCAAATCAAATCAGAAAACTATTTAAAAAACAAACAATATTAAAATAACTAAAATAATAACAATTATTATTATTATTATTATTATCATTAATAATAATAATATGTTAATAAATATTCTTAGTAATTAATAAGAATAATAGTACTTAAATAATAATGATTAAATCCAAAAAAATAATAATGATAATAATTATTTTTAACGAATGATAATTAATAATAATGATAATAATGATAATAAAAATTCATAATAATATTTATTTTTAAATATAATAATAATTGATAATTTTTTACAATAATCATAACACTTAACATTAATTATTATTATTATTATTATTATTATTATTATTATTATAAATATTATTTATAATAATAAAATAATAATAATAAATATAATAATAAAAATAATACAGAGTAAAATTAATAATTACAATAATTACCAATAATAAAAATTATAATTTTAATTTTATTAATAAAAATTACAAAAATAATTAAAATTATTAAATATAATAACTAAAATAACTATCATTTTTTTTATTATTATAAAAATAAATTATAACTACTAATGATAATCATCCTGATTAAAATTAACCTAGGAGTACACCAACATGGGTACTCCATTTGTACACCAAGCCAACATAGACATACACAGAAACGTAATGTCTGTGCCTGCACAAAAAATTATGTAAATGTGTTTGTGTGTGGTGCATGTGTTAGCTTTTTGTACAAATGGGGTAACCCATGTTGGTGTACCCCTAGCATTGCTCTCATCATTAATCACAACACTTAATAATAAAAATAATGATAATAATAGTAGATAGAATTATTTAAAAAAAAGTTGTTGTAATAATAATTAATAATTACCATTATAATTATTAATAATAAAAATTATTATTGTAATACTATTAATAATATTTATTAAAAATAATTAATAATATTATTATCATCATACATTTTGATTAATAATGATAATCATCATCAATAATAATAACACTAAATATTAGTAATAATAATAATAATTAATTATAATTATATTAATAAATTTAATTATTAAACTAATAATGATAATAATAATAATAATTAGAATAATAATTATTAATAATGAAAATTATTATTGTGTTATATTAGTTATTACAATTGTTAATAATAATTAATAATACTCCGTAATACTTAATACTCCCTCCGTCCCTCAGTTTTTGTCCACTTTTGACTTTTGGAACTGTTCATCTAAGCACTTTGACTCATCAAATTTTCTCAATGTGTAAGCCTAAATATAGTCATGCGTGATCTTGTTTGATTTGTCTTAACATATAGATTATTAATATATAATTTTAATAATTTTTAATATACAAATTACAAGATAAAATGGATTAAAGAAGTGCATTGGATGGTGTGTAAAAATTAAAGTGGACAAATACTCTGGGACGGAGGGAGTAATAAATTATTATTAATTTAATAATAATAATTCAAATTTGAATTAATTTCATTCAAATCAGATTCATTCAGATAAGATCTATCCAGATTAGATCAAATCCATTTAGATCAAATCACATCCATTTAGATCATATCCAAATCCGGCCATTCACATCAGATCAATTCAACATTAAAAAATTCAGTTCAGATCAGATCAGCCGAAGAAAATGCAACCTTATTTTTGTTGGTGAAGTGGTGAACGAATAATAACTTGGAAGAGAAGGAACATGATTAAGGAAGAGGAGGTGATATTTACCATGAGTGATGTGAATATAGCCAAATTAGTGCATGTTATGGGTAAGGTGTGACTATTACCTACAATGACAGTTTCGGTGCCATGATATGGAGTAAGAGACTGTAGCGGTGATAGATCATGTGTGACATGATTGTTGGCACATGTATTAAGATACCAATCATCAGATTAGATGTTTATAGCGGCATGCATAATGCGAGATGTGCTAGCAAAGGTATTATTGGTATAAAATCATCACAACGATGCCAATAGACAACATAATGACCTCACTTGTCACAGATCTAACACACTGGAAGCTCGCATGGAGGACCACGACCCCCGCCTCGGCTGTTGCTTCCATCGCCACGGCTAGGGCCATTTTTGCGGCTATAGGATGGCCAACCGCGGCCGCCTCCTCGACCGCCTGGAGAATAGAGTGTAGTGTGAGAACTCCTAGAAATAGAATTAGCCAAGTTTAGTTTTTTTACCATCTTAAGATTAATTATTTTCTCAGAGGTGGCCGGTGAGCCATCTAGAGAGTTGGCTGAGACTGATATTTTCATTGTTCCTGCAGATATTCTGTTCAAAGGAAGAGTATTCGCTAAGGAGGCCATGAATAACAACATATACCACATCACATTCTAGAATCTATCTCTTCATTCAATGCATCTTGATCTGCTATGATAGAAGCAACTTCATCAAGATACTAAGTCATATTTTTTGTACCTTTGCAAAGAGTGTGAAGCTAATCTCGAAGTTGATAAATATGAGCAGTGGACACGAAATTACATTGTGCCACTAATAATAGTCGGGCTAATAATAACGAAAGATACGCATAAATGAAAGTGTCAACTACGGACCATGAGGTGTACTCAGGGTTAGGGTTTGTATTCCCTTCTTTGGAGATTATTTTTTGTGGTGCTTCTTCATAGCCATCGATCCATCCGAGAAGGAGATTAGTTAAGAGACCATGTCGTATAATTTGTATCTATGAGTTTTTTTGGGATTAAATTGTGGGAAAAGGCGACGTGCCAATCGAAAAAGAAGACTAGGTCTGAGAAAAAAACCTTATTAGCTCCGATACCATAATACAATTTGAGAAGATTTGATCTTATTAAATAATGAAGGTTCAACCTCTATGTAGAGGAAATACAAGAGAGAATTTTAATCCTTTTAAAATCGGAATAATGGTAGCAATACAATAATGAAACAATAAAAAAAGAAAGGCAATAAATAATAATGTTTATTTATAGTTATTATCCAAACAGTCAGATTTTAATAATTTTTTTACTCATTTTTATTAGATATTTGAAAAAATAATATAGTCATGTCACCTTTGGTTAGAAATTAAAGTGAAAAAATTGAACAAGAAGAATAAAAAGGAATAAAACTTGCAAGAAGGAAACGAAAGCAAAACAAAGTAGTGAAAAGAGATTAACCAAAACAGCAGAAACGAAAAAAAAGTGAGAAATAAGCACGATGAAGGGATGACATCACGGGCTCCCACACTCTAATGGTCAAGATAATAAATTCATAAGCATTTTCCTAATATAAAGATGAACATTTTTATAATTATTTTTCAAAAAAAAAAAAAAAAAACTCCTCCATCCGTCCTGTGCTAAGAGGCACTCCTGTCATTTTGGTTGTCCCGCCTAAAAGGCACATTCATTTGGCACTATAAACTTATATCTTCAATCATTTTTTAATATTTTCTAAGTTTAATTTGTACACTACTCTCTTTTTTATCTGAGTGGATTCTCAAAATGGTCCATTACGATAGAATGGTTTCCCAATAAATAATTACTCCGTATTACATACATTGTACTCCGTAATTAAAATTTATTCCCTTGATAGTCATTTGTAAAAAATATCCAATAAATGATTATTAAGTGTAGTATATTTTGATACTTTTTACTAGAGATGTAAACACATCAAATATTTTAAATTCGATTCGCGATTTGTATTCGAATATGATGATTCAAATTCGCGTTATTCAAATACAAATTCAAATTCAAATATTATTTTTGATTCGAATATTAATCAAATACAAATACAAATAGAGATATATTCGATTCGGATGATATTCGAATATTCGAATATATGTATATATACACAGACCATGTTTTCAACATCAAAAGTCAAGCAAAGTAATATAGTATAAAGTGTATTTAAAATACTAAGAATTCAATAAATTAACGTAACACGAAAATCTAAAACATATGATTTTTAATAGTTATATTTTATAAAATATAATTTGTGTAAGATGCAAATGCATTAATGTTTTTATATACGGAATATAGTATAGTATAAAGAGTATCGTAAGTTAAATTACAAATTGATGTTGGTTCATCATATAAATTATATAGTATGATTATTCAAATATTCGTTTATGATTCGATAATTATTCGAATATTAATCAAATACTTATTCAAATCTTATTTTGAATTCGTCTCATATTCGGATTCGGATTCGTATTCAAAAAAATTAAACAAATACAAATTCAAATATATCGGTATTCGCTTCGATTCGGTTCGTTTACACCCCTACTTTTTACCATCTAAACTATGAAAATATTTTTAAAAATTTTTTAAATTAAATATTTTCACAAATCATATGTTTGAGTTACAATTATAATACCACCCCAATTATCTAAAAAAAATTAATTATAAACTACCATGTAGGTAAATATTATTTATTAAAAATTATCATTAAAATGTCTTAATTATGAAAAATTATGAAGTACCATATAAGTAATTATTGCCTATTGATGACTAATGTGGTGATACGAATATCGTATCGGATAGGCAAGAACTTCGAGCGTCTTCGGGCTCCAAGAAAGGGGAGGCAAAGAGAGAAGGAAAACTTTGAGCGTTTCCGGGGTCCAAGAAAAGAGAGACGAGAGATTAAGAGAATTCTTGATTATTGATTGATTGAATAATAATAGCGAAGGGTTACAATATATAAAGAACGTAGATAACCTAATTGACCTAATGCGCTCGGGCCCATACTAAAACCCTAAACCAACAATAAATAATAATAAATAAATACTAAATAATAATATAACTAATTAAAATATTATAATTAACAATCTGTATCATTCTCACCCCCTTAAAAACCACCTTGTCCTCAAGGTGGAGGCTCCCACTCGTGTTTCTGGACTGGAGAGATAATGCTAAACCAAAGGCGCAGTCCATGCTTTGAATCAAAGTGATGGCCATACAAGACGCGGCACGTAGAATATCTAGTTGCTCTCGGTGAAACCAAGTGCTCCGTCTCGACCACATCGACAATATCAAACAACTTAATGGTGTCATCAAATGAATTGAGGTTGTACACTTGCTTATTATCTGTATCTGCCACCTTCTCGACACCTGCTAGAACTTCATACTCTGCAATTGTCATCCCAACTGAGGCATTTAGTGGGACAGATAATTCACAAGATGTAGAGTATGATTTGTTTGGTGGCTCGTCACTCTGAATATTTGCACCATAATCTTCATCAAGAACACCACCATCATTGCCAACGACGTCAGGCCCGCTATCATTGTCCACATTGATAAAAGATTTCTCGCTTGATTCCTTTAGTTTATTTGTGTCCTCCACAGTCGGGGCCAGGAGTGTGTTGGTGTTTTCCACCATGTGGGCAAATGTGTCTCTAGACTTCTCCGATGTCTTCTCAAAACAAATATAATCCAAATCATGTAGCGGAGCAAATCGTATTTGGAACTTTTTAACAAAATCCTCTCAACCATCAATCAAGCCACCACGCATACGTCAATTAAACCAAGCCAAGGCAGAGCCCTCTAACATTGATGTCACACAGTTCAAACGATCAACTAAAGGGACTTCGTAAAACTGGAAATACTCACATATCGTAGCTAACCACTGCACGGGTTTGGTTCCGTCACATCTTGGGGGGAACGTTGGTGGAGAGATGCACCTGTCACTTTCCGTATAAGACCCATAATGTGTGCTCTGAAAATTTATAACTCAAAAGGAATTTGACCTGGCACAATTGGAGGTCCACGAACCAAATCCTGTACCGAGCAAAAAATTTCTACGTCGAGCGCATCATAATCAATTTGACCTTTAAAATGACGGACCGACCTGAGCTTCTTAATAATTTCATATACTTGATCAAAAATCAAACAAACTCCTTCATCATGCTCAATTTCTCCAAAAAGAACCTTTTCTAGCAAATCAAAAAGTATGTCCAACGCAGAGTCCATTGTCAAAATAAACACCACCACATAAAAATATCACCAAAAAATACCTTAAATGTTGCTATGGTTGGTACGGAGTTGCGGTCTCTGATTGATCCTTAGATACGATCTGGTGCCGCCGAATAAAATTGCAGCAAAATTGCAGCGACAAACAAGCTTTGGCAAATTGGACGGCAAAGCTTAGTAACAAATTAATAATTGCTCCAATAATTGGCTGCAAAAGGTTTGATACAAATTAACAATTGCTCCAATAATTGGCCGATCTGGGAAAAAATGAGCTTTTTTTTGTGGTTTTTCTGGCGAGTTCAAGGAATGAAAGCACCAATTGATACGAATATCGTATCGGATAGGGAAGAACTTCGAGCGTCTTCGGGCTCCAAGAAAAGGGAGGCAAAGAGAGAAGGAAAACTTTGAGCGTTTCCAGGCTCCAAGAAAAGAGAGACGAGAGATTAAGAGAATTCTTGATTATTGATTGATTGAATAATAATAGCGAATGGTTACAATATATAAAGAACGTAGATAACCTAATTGACCTAATGGGCTCGGGCCCATACTAAAACACTAAACCAACAATAAATAATAATAAATAAATACTAAATAATAATATAACTAATTAAAATATTATAATTAACAATCTGTATCATGTGGGTAATTGCCTTATTAAAAATGACCATTAAAAATTCATTCTTCTTATTTCAACATATCCACCCCTACCTTATCAATTAATTTTAGACTTAACTTTTATTTTCTCAAAAAGCAAGAGTTCCATTTAGGATGGGAAGGAGGAAGTGATTATAATGAGAATGTTCACAGATTATGTGAATTTTAAGTTCACCAAAATTAAATCAATTTTGACTTCGTATTACTTAAACGGTGTGTTTGATGGTTGCATATTTACAAAATATACGATGCCAATTTTAATTTCAAACTTTGATGTTAAAATAGATTTATCCAACATTATGGCCTTGTTTGGATGTTGGTTGTCAGCTGTTGGTTGTTGGCAGTTTGTGCCAGCTGTTGTGAATTGCTGTTTGGTTTAGCTGGTTTGACCGGCAGGATGAATTGTCCGATCATTAAAAATGTTTGGTAAAATTAGCTGTTTGAAAATAGTTTTTACTATATATATATATATATACATACATATATATATACATATTTATATATATATATATACATATATATATATATATATACATATATATATATATATATATATGTATATATGTATATATATACATATATATATATATATATATATGTATATATATACATACATATATATATATATATACACACACACACACACATGATATTTATTTTTCTTTTTTTTACATGTAAAAATTAAATCTTTACTATATGGAGTATTAAATTTTAATTTCATTTAATTCATAAGAAATTATTAATATAAAACTTTTTAATGATTTTTACTTTTTATTTTTTCATTTCATTTTTTTGTAATTTTAAATTTTATTTTTTTTAGTATTTAATTTTTTTAACTTTTATTTTTATTTTTATTTTTATTTTTTTACATATATTATAAAATATTTTTCAACAAAAATGATTTAAAAAAAATTAATTTTTCTAACAGCCAAGTCTAAATGCTACTCCCCTTGGCATTTCAGATTTTGGCTTTTCGGATCAAAATGCCAAGTGAAAAAGTCATTTGCCAAACAATGGTTTTGGCTGTTCGCTTAGTCAAAAAAGCTAAAGTCAGTCAAAGATGCCAAAAGCTATCCGAAAAACTGTTTTCCAAACACGACCTATATTTTAAAGCCTTGTTTTATACTCGGTATATTCCCAAGGGTCAAGTAGGCAAGTAACCCACCAAATGAAGCATATCTTTTAAACCTTTACTTCTTTCATACTCCGGATGTTCCCAAGTAACCCTTCAAACGAAGTAACCCTTTTAAAGCCTTCTTTCATACGGAATGGATTATATTCCCAGCCCCCCCAAGTATTTGAAAATTTAAAAATATTGCATCAATGGTCTCTCTGTTTCATAGTTGGGACATCGTTAAACACAGGTGGGTTCTGCAATATGCCAAAACCAAACATTATCTTCTACTCCCTCCGTTCTTTTAAACACTTCCTAGCTATTTTGACTTTTAGCAAAAATAAGGAAAGTGTAATTTTGGTTTACTTTCCAATTTTGCCCCTGATGTGATGAGTAAAAGTAAGATGTGATAGTTTGGTTATTAGTGAAAAAGTATAATGTGATAGGTACGGTATGAAAAGTAGAGGTAGAAGTGGTTTTTTGATAGAAAGTGGAAGTGTGTTAGGGAATTAGAAAAAAAACGAAAGGGGAAGGGTTTTATGGAACGGAGAGAGTATATTTTTAACATTTTAAAACCCTAGATAATTATTCTCGCTTTAAATGTCAGTAACCGAACTCAAAACTCGGGCACCGATCAATCAAGCTTTTTATCAATTAATCAACTTCTTCGTCAATCCATGACATCTTCAAAAAGTATATATATACACTTGACATTCTCATTCCAATGCAATCTTTATTCCTTGCATTACGCAGTATTATTACACGTACGTCTATCTTTCCAAAATCCAAACAATGGCTAATAATGATAGAGGAGCCTCTATCTGCTGCGGACTGGTAGCGCAGATATTTGGGATCACAGCTTTGGTTCTAATGCTTCTTTGGCTGCTTCATTATCGGGATGGCCTCAATCTTTATTCCCACGACCCAAACCGGGTTTTCAATGTGAGTTCCTCCTTTAAACTCTCATTCATTTTATATATCCCGTAAGAATGAGAGAAATAAGAATGGTGCATTTTTTATTCGTCATCGTGCATTTTACAAAGCAGGTAATTCACCATGGTGCATTTCAAAAATCAAGTAGTGCATTTTACGATGTTCGACTTAATTACAAAATTTTCACCGCATTTTCTCCGATTTTTTCTTATTTTTTAAATTTTTATTACCTTTTTATCTCACATTCTAAAGCATCACATATATTCTTATTTCTTTTATAAGATCTAATTCTTAAGACAACTAGTGTGTGTGTATATACACACACACTTAAGATAAAATCTAATGAGTGTGTGTATGCATATCATCATATTGTGCCGCAGGTTCACCCATTCCTAATGTTCTTTGGATTCATGTTCTTCTTGGCTCAAGGTATGTACAAATACTCGTTCAATTCTTATCAAAGTGAGTTTATATGGGGGTTTTATGGGATGGGATCCTCTGTCCCCCACTCCCTGTCCCAACTCTCTGTCCCTCTTCCACTCATATTTTGCCACATAACCCAATCCACCCTAATTTAACACATACCCACTCCATATGACCCCATATCCTACCACCCATTAAAGGGGTGGATGTGTGTTAAATTAGGATGAGGTGGATTCTGTGGCAAAATGTGAGTGGAGGAGGGGGGGACAGGGAGTTCGGACAGAGAGTGGGGGACAGAGGATCCCATCCCAGTTTTTAGAATTCTCTATTCTACCCCTAAATAACTCTCTGATACAAATAGTAGATTAGTTATTCTATTTAATTAATTATTTATTCCATATATAGCAAACTTTATATGGTGATGCAGCTTTGATCACACACGGTGGACTGGGCGGAGCACTGACAGTATTAATAGGTGTCCCGTGTCGAGTGGTAGCAATATGTTTGGGCGGCGTGGGAATTCACGCCGCCGTCAAATCCCATCATATGCTCCACTTTGGGAACCATACCCGAAGCGTCCATTCTTGGATTGGAATCGCCGCTTTCGCCTTATTTATTTTTGAGGTAACTAATCACCTTATTTATCTTTGGATTGTTTCTGCTCCTAACTTTTGTGAATTCGTAAGCCTTATCTATAGTCGTATAAATTTATAATTACATTAGTTTATAGCTAATCGAGAATTCGTAAAGTTCTTCTAGCATTTTTTAGAGCAAATTGATTGATCACCTCTCCGTAGTCTATATTCTCAAGGATTTCATTCCCATTTGCTATCATCACCAATCCGTTAAGCCTTTCTCGGAACATTGTCACCTCTAATCACCATATGGGTGAAAATTGTCATTTTTTTATAGGGGCAGGCTTGAGTCGGAGATTTAAGCTAGGGAAGGTAAGAATTAGTTTCGCATCTAAAGAAAAATCGTAGGTGCCTCGATTAGATCTCTGCCATTTTATGGCATTGGTACTCTATATCAAAATAATCAAATTTTAAAATCAAATAATAAATCAAATTTTATATTCTTGGCATGCACTAAGACATTATTGTGAATCACTGTGGCCCTCCAAAATGAGGAGTCACTCACTGGTTTAAACCCCCTAGTGAGGACAACATTCACTCTTTTTTCTTCTATATGGGCAGATGTAATAAAGTTAATAGTACTAAAAAAAAATACTATTCTTTGGAATGGCATGCGCAGTCTGTGGTGTGGCTACTCGCGTGTGTAGGCAGAGTTACATGTTGCAACGAATGTTGTGATGATGAAGAGCCAAGCAAAGCCGCTCCATCAGGGCGGATAGCACTGCACATAGCAACTTGTGCAGCGGTCACGGGACTGATGGAAAAGGCGTCAAAAGACATTGCGGACGATCATCTCCGCCGTGGTCATCGGGAATCTACCATCATCAACGTCCTTGCATTGTTTATCATTCTCTTCACTGCAACCGTTGATATGTCGGTCCTTAGTGGAAGTTTTGCCCGTGCTATTAGCTCCACCACCCGGTCTGTAGCCTGATGATCGATCTAGCTAGGATAATTAATGAATCTACAATCACACCATGCAATCTTTTGGCACAAAGCGAGTTTGACATTATATATGTTTTACACACAATAATTGTCGTCTGTGCAATATCAATTAATGATTATCTGTGAACGTCTAATGCCAAACATTAGTGTTAAAATTGGTGCCAGCATAACATGATTGTTGTTCAAATATACTCCCTCATGTCCCTTGAAATCTTTCTTGTTTGAAAAAAGGCGCACCCTTAAAAATGAGTAATTTTAGTCTTATTTTCTAAATTTGTCCTTACTTTATACTCCCTCGTCCCTGAAAATCTTTCTTCTTTCTTTTTTCATCCGTCCAAAAAAAAAAAATTCTTATTTTTTTTAAAAAGTCACTTTTACCCCTTACTTTTTGATACCTTACCTATCACAGCATACCTTTTTACTAATAATCTACCCATCAAATCCTACTTTTACCCATCACATCAAAGTGTATTTTTGGAAATTCAGTATCAAAATACACTTCTGATCTCTTAAAGTGTGATGTGATTGGTAGGTTAAGAATTAGTATGAGTAAAAATGACTTTTTAATAGAAATGATGCTCTTAGTTTCCTTTTTTCAATCCCAAGTATGATCGGATTTTCTGTTTGCAGTTGCGTTAAATTAGATTTGAGATCTCCGAAACATAATTTCTCTACCTTGCTTAGAACAACACTGTTGACAGGGCAAATTAGGCATTTTAATACTCTACACTAGGGCAAACTTAAGCTCCTTTTCCCTTCAATTAAACTAGGAAACTAATACTCTAACTAATAATAATAGTAATATTAATATAATAATCATGTAACACTCTCTCCGTCTCAAAAACTAACTTGTTCTAAAGTTGGAGATCCAACAAAGAACGGGGATAAGATGCGGCATTCAGCACCCATCCTCCAGAACTAAAGACCTTGACCATTAGAGCATCGTAAGAACGTCTTGGGCCTAAAGAATCGACAGCATTAATAAACCGCTCCTTGCTGGCATCTCAAATTCTTTAATGCAACCATAACAAATCACATTGTCTTTGAAAACATTCTTCAGGATAGAGTGGCTTTGACGATGGTCGTCCTCATAAATACCGTTTATGAGGTACTTTTGTAACAGGTACTTCTGTGACATCCACTAAGATATCGTTTTTTTGGGGAAGAACTAGATGTACTAGACACTAAGGCTCTATTCGTTTGAGTTGTAAAAATAGAGTTAGATGTCAGAAGAAACTAGAAGATGTTGGAAGAAACTAAAAGAGTTGGAAAAATTAGAAAGAGTTTGGAAATGTTGAAAAAAAATAAACTATTAAAAAATCATTCAATTAAATAATCACCCAAATAAATACTCTTATGTAAGAAAAAAAATTTAGGTAAAAAGATCAGCTTTGTATATCTTTGATGTGGTATGTTATAGATTTAGATATATGATACAGAGTATTATTGTATAGTCATCATATGGAATATATAAAAACTTTTTTTAAGTCATTGTTGAAAGAAATTAGAAAGAATTGAAAAAATTAAGAGTTGAAAGAAATTGGAGAAATGAAAAGAAGTTAGAATTTAACTTTTTCAACTCAAGTGAACATGGCAAACAATTGAAATAAAGCATGTTTTTTTTACTCTTCTTTTTCAGCAACTATTGGGTTTACAACTCGTTGGCTGGGTGGTTCGATCAAGAATAGACCTGGCAAAAAATGACCTGACCGGTTTTTGACCCGAGACCCGACCCGAAAATACTGGGTTTTGAACAAGGGTTTTGCTGACTGAACCCGAAGTTGACCGAACCCGAAATGACCTGCTAAAAATGGGTCAAATCCGACCGAACCCGAACCCGACCTGACCGACCCGCTAATCTAAGATTTTTTCAGAATCATTCATTTTAATATGAAATATAGTGCTATAAAAATAAGATTATGATTATTTTTCTTTGCTTACTACTCATTTTTTGTGTATAGATTTATGTCATCATAACAAATTTTAATGATGTCGCATAATTATCTAACATTTTTTCAAAATTTCTACATATTTAATTTTTTTATTCCTAATATTGATACTAAGTCATAAAAATTACTTAAAATTTCAAAAAATAAATGAAACTCATAACCCATTGGGTCAACCCGAACCCGATGACACTGGGTCATGAACATGAAGTTATCAAGCCGAACCCGAACTTATCTGAACCCGAAGTAACCTGAATCTAAGTTGACCGAGCCCGAACCCGACCTGACCGACCGATTTGCCAGGTCTATTCAAGAACAATACACGAGTTGGAGCTTTGGCCCTAATTGCTTCTGCTTGTGCCGCTCTACTACGGCTGCAATTCTTTTAGGGGTTCAAAAATCAAAATTGCATTATCGCTTTCAGATTAAAATTATTTATGGATCACTCAAATCAAATAAAATGTAAGTATCTAGAACGAGTATGAAAGCTCCTAATATCTCAAACATACCCTCGAACTTTATATACCCCCGTCCCATAAAACATTACTCATTTTGATGTATTTTTAGTTAAATAATTACACGCTTTGACCATAAATTAAACATCATTTAAATAAAGAAACAGGGCTGGCCCATTAGGGAGACAAAGTGTCCGTCCGGGCCGGGCCCAATAATTTTAGGGGCACCAAAATATTTTTTTAAGTATTATATATATGTGTGTGTGTGTGTGTGTGTATATATATATATGAGAAGCCCACTATATTTAAGGCCCAGTCCACCCACCCTTCACTTATTCTATACCTTAGCCCAGTCCACTACTCCTCCCCTCACCCGACAAAACAAAAAAAATGAAGAAAGCCGAACGAAGAAAAAGTGATCGGAAGAGGCGAAGTCGCGAAGAGAGCTGCCGGACGCCGCCTCCACCGCCAGACGCCGACTTCCACGCCTCCACCCTCCAGGTATTCCATATTCAATTATTCATAGCTTTCCAATTTTGTAATTTTATTTCTTAAATCTTAATTTTCTTTCATTGTTTCATTTTTTAGGTTTAAAATCTAGGGTTAATTATTAGTTTTTAATTTGAAATCTTTTCTAATTTCATTCTTTGAAATAGAATGATTTAAAGGTTCTATTTTTTATTTATTTTGGATGAATTGATTTGAATTTGTTATTTATGATATATTTATATAAAAAACTGAAAACCAAAAAAAAAAACTGACGAATTGATATTAATTTATGATATATTTATTTATAAACTTGCTTTTTCATTTTTTCATACTTGATTTTACTTAGTAGAATATATGAATTTGGATTTTATAATTACGGTATGTAATTATAATACTATAATTTTGTCATTTATTTTTTTCTTCTAATAATATTGCGTTAATTATAATTTAAATATAATTAGTTTACATATGTGATTTTGTTAGACCATTAAGGATAAGATTTTTAGGGCTTTTTTTCTGTTTCGGCCCAGGCACATGAATCCTCAGGACTGGCCCTGTAAAGAAATGTTATAAAAATTAAATATATCAAAACTAGATCCTAAGACGAGTCCAATTATATTAAATTTATATTTTAATTCATTATACTTTTCTCACAATTTGTAGTCAAAGTGTGTAATTTTTTGACCAAATACTCTTCAAAATAGATAATATTTTTTTGTGGGACAAAGGGAGTATGTAATAATAATAATAATGTTACCCCACTTATATTTTTGTCCCATTAGCTTTTTTAGAGTAAATTCTATAATTAGTCCTTTATAATAGGGGGCTTTCTCTATTTAGTCCTCAATTATCAAATATTACCCCAGTGATCCTACTTTTATAGGTATCTTTCCACAAATAGTCCTTTTTTTGATCTTCTATCATGTTGGTATTAATTTGAAGGCTAAAAGTATAATTTAACAATGATAATATATCTTTTTTGTCATACACAATTCCAAAAGCTGTTCTGTTTGCGTCGTTTGTGAATTACAGCCGCTTTCTACTACAAACATAGTCTACAAATATGGTCTTTCGTTGGAATCCTAGTCCACAATCGTAGTCATTATTTTTGTGTTATCCGCCGCTAAACCAATATCAGAACACGTCACTAGACATAATGTTGATGTCAAATTATATATTTAGCCTTCAAATTAACACTAACATGACAGAAGATTAAAAAAAGGACCATTTATGGAAAGATACATATAAAAGAAGAACCACTGGGGTAATATTTGATAATTGAGGACTAAATAGAGAAACCCCTCTGTTATAAAGGACCAATTATGGAATTTACTCACTTTTTTATTATATGTATCTCAATTTTAAACTCTAACTTAATCAATTTCAAAATTATTATTATTATTACTATTATTATAATTAATAATATTATTATTCATGTTTCCATATTTTATACACAAACAGAATCTCCGTACGTACTCCATGCGTTCACGCCTAATTTATGAATTTCTCACAAAAATTGTTGGGCTTAGAAGTTACTCCTTCCATTCCATAAAACTCTTCCCCTTTCGTTTTTTCCAATTCCCTAAAATACTTTCACTTTCTATTAAAAAACTACTTTTACCCTTACTTTTTCATATCATATCTATCACATCATACTTTTTCATTAATAACCAAATTATCACATCTTACTTTTACTCATCACATTAGAGGCAAAATTGGAAAATCAATCAAAATTACACTTTTCTTATTTTTGCCCAAAGTCAAAATGAAAAAGGTTTAAAGGAACAGAGGGAGTAGCTAATAAAGGAAAGAGTAAATTCTCAAATGATGATTAATTAGGAGACATTTTGGTATTTTGATCATCCAAATTCATAATATATTCTCGAAATAGTTATTTCTGTACAACTAAATGTAAAATTGAAAAAATATATTGACAATAAATAATTCATGAATTATTTAAAACATATAAAAAATCTTTTAAATTTCAAATCAAATACACATCTTTAATTAGAAAAAATCATTTTGGGAAAGCACTTTTTTAAAATGATCATTTTAAGAATTACTCCCTCCGTCCTAATATTATCTTCCAGTTACTATTCACATGGTCAAACTTAAATCACTTTCCTTATCTATTTTTGTTGCTTATTTGATAAAATAATATAGTCTTGTCACCTCTCGTTTTGTAAAACTTTTGATGTAGTTTTTAAATATGTAAATTCTATTTTTTAATTTTACTCCTACAATCAAAAAAAATAAATTGAAAATAAAGTCGGTCAAACCTCGTAAACACAAACAGGAAAATAGTTTTAGGACGGAGGGAATAATTCTAAATTTAGCGGATAAAAAAATCAAAATACCCTCGATTAATCTTCATTTGAGTAACATTATTTATGAAGGACCATCTTGGAAATAAATCTCAATTATAGAGGATCACATAGGTAATTAAAACTTATTGAGGACTGATTTTGGAAAAATAACTTATTACAAAGGACTATTTTGAGAATTTACTCTATATGAAAAGACATATTTTACCAAAGTTAATTTATCTAATCCTAATCCTAATTCTAATGCTAATTTTATTCCTATTCTTAATTCTACACCTAATCCTAAACTTAATATTAGTCCCAATCGTAAAACTAATCAAAATCCTAATCATAATCGGAAAAGTAATTGGAATAGACGTCTGAGAACCATGAAAGTTTTCACCCTATATATAATACCCAGGGAAGGAGAACTAAAGCATAGGGATTAAATAAAATTGTCATATATCCAACTGAACTATGGCTAATAACAATAATAATAATAATAATAATAATAATAATAATAATAATAATAATAATAATAATAATAATAATAATAATAATAATAATAGTATTAATAACGATAACGATATTAATGATAGTAAAGCATCCTCTGTCGTCTACGCAGTGGCAGGGCAAATATTTGGGATCGCAGCTTTGGTTCTCATGCTGGTTTGGCTCCTCCGTTTTCGGGATGGCCTTAATCTCAATTCCCACGACCCGAACCGGGTTTTCAATGTGAGTCATTAAAGATATTTTAATACTTTTTTTTTTTTTTTGAAATATTGATGCATGTATAATATACTCGTATATTAATTAATTTATTTATAATTGATTAATTTATTCTCCATAATACTCGTATTTTGTTTGATCATGTTTTTAACATTTAGGCTCCGTTTGGTACAAATTATAGAATTGGAATGGGAGACAATAATTTCATTTCTATTATTGGTAGTACAAAAATATGTGGATTTGAAATTGGAAGTACCAAAACTGTATTGGAATTGGAGAAATCAATTCCATCCAAATCAATTCCATAGAATTTGAATTTCCAATTCTATTCCAATTTCAATTCCGTCAATTCATTATTTAACCGAACGAACACTTAACTTAAGCTTTTTGAAAAAAAAAATTAACTAATACTCGTAGTTTTTAGATTTACCGTTTTAAGGCTAATCTAGAATATTAAAAAATCATTCGAAATTAGCAATGACCAAAAATATGGTTTCGAAAGAGGACGACCTAAATCTTATCCAGGAGAGAGGACTATTTTTAATAATCTATTTGGAGCAATATTAGTAATTAAATAACTTTCGATAAAATCTAGTGTTTGTGTATGCATATCATCAAATTGTGCTGCAGGTTCACCCATTCCTAATGTTCTTTGGATTCATGTTCTTCTTGGCTCAAGGTATGTACAAATTCTCGTTCAATTCGATCTTATAATGTTGGATTTCAATACTTCCTCCTGTGCTAAAAACATGAGAGTTATTGGTTTTTAAGAGATTTAAAGAATGTGTGTTTTGGTATTGAATTTCTAAAAAAAAACCTTTGATGATATGATGAGTAAAAGTAGGATTTCATGGTTAGATTATTAGTAAAAAGTATGATGTGAGAGGTAAGATATAAAAGTAAGGAGTGAAAATGACTTTTTAATAAAATAAGAAGTGTTTTTTGAGACGGATGAAAAAAGAAAGACAAAAAGTTTTCACGGACAGAGAGAATATTATATTATCACATTGAGTTTATATATACATACATGCAGGTCTGGTGGTATACGACGGAATCGTGTGCCGAGTGGTTGCAATAGGTTTGGGCGGTGTGGGAATTCGCGCGGCTATAAAATCCCATCATATGCTCAACTTTGGGAGCCATATGAGAAGCTTACATTCTTGGATTGGCATCGCCGCTTTCTCCCTCTTTGTCTTGGAGGTAATTAAGTACAAGTACATAGACATTATTCATCTATCTGGACATTATTAAGTACTCTATATTATTTATGAAATAAAACAGTTTAAATGCTATTTGGAAAAATGACCTAAATTTTAGTGCTATTTAGTGCAAATATTTCTTTAAAAAAAAATCCCTGGGCTGCAACTACAAATTGGATCTTTTGGTCGAGCTTTTTTGCCATGAATTCAGAGACTGTTTTATTAATAGGTCAAATGTTCAAAACTCAATGTTACTTTTTTTTTTTTTTTGAAAAATTAAGGTTTCGCATGCAAATAAAGTTTAAAAGGACTATATTTGCACATGAGAAGACGTGTTAGAATAGAAAATATTTTTCGTAGGCTATAACCACAAACTTAAGCTTTTGGTTGATTGAGTTGGTTTCTTGACAATTTGGAACATACTCCTTGAATTATATTACAAAACAATTCCATTTGTGAAATAGTTTTACACACTCTATTTAAAAGTCTATTTTAACCCTAAGGGATCGGATGATCATTCTTATTTGGAACATTTAAGAGTACGTAATAAAAACACACTAATTAATTAAGTCATTGTTGGTGTGCATGCATGCAGTTTGCGCTCGGTATCCTCATCAAGTGTTGTGGAGATGCATCGGAAAACTCGAAGGAAAAGCTGAGGAGAAGCGGTCCAGCAGGGCGGGGGGCACTGTACATGGCGACATGTGCGGCGGTCAGCGGGCTGATGGAGAGGTCCGCCGCAATGGACGACCTTGACGGCGGCGGCGGCCGTAGCCATCGGGAGTCCACCATTATCAACGTCCTCGCACTATTTATCCTTCTCTTCGCCGTATCAATTGATAAAGCCGTCTTTTATGCGGTTGCGGTTAATGCACGCGCCGATCGCCTGCCGGCGGCGTGATCGATCTACCCCATTTTTTAATCATAATTTAATCTCTCCGGCCATCTTCATGCATGTAATTTGTCTCTTTAATTAATTTAGTTTCAAAGACACAATTAATAGATACTAGGTGTGTTTTGTTTGACAACGTTACTATTTATATGAATATAATTGTTAAAATGGGATCACATTTTGAATAATGTCTTGCTTTGATTAAATTTACTTTTAATTCTCTTTTCTCTCAATAGAATATACTTCATCCGTCTCAAAAAATCTTTCACGTTTCAAAAAATGGTATCCCATAATCTCTTTTTTATTTCTATTGAAAAGTCGCTTTTACCCCTTACTTTTTCATACCATACATATCATATCATACCTTTTTTCTAATAATCTACACATCACATCCTACTTTTACCCATCACATCAATGATATTTTTGAAAAATCAACACAAAATTATCCCTCCCTTATTTTGCCACTTTTGTCAAATGTCCTTCTCTTTCTGGGACGGAAGAGGGAGTATATATTATCGGTGTGTATAAATAGTAATAATAAATACAACTCCATTTTGTTATTGTTAGTATTATTTTTAATGTAGTTACTCCGTATTGTTATTATTTTATTATAAGGGTGTTGCTAAATTTACCTCCATTTTGCTAAATGTACTCCATTTATGACAATTGGACAAGTTTATTCTTTACCTGATTCACTTTTCCACTCTTTTTTTTTGCAATTTTATGGGTAAAATTTGTACATCGTAACAAATTGTGTAAATTTAGACCAAATAGGGATGGGTTTAGCAACACTCTTATTATAATTATAGTAACAAAAAATATTAACGTATTATTCATTCGGCCTGGCCGGGCCGAGGGCTTAAATATAAATCCCAATCCCGACCCTTGAATATGCACCCTATGCTTATCAAGTCCAAACTCGTTATTTTACAGACGGGCCTTTGTAGGCCGGCGGGGCGCTTGGGCTCACGATCGGGTGTAATGGGGGCAAAATATATTTTTTTACTTAATTAGGTGGGTAGAAAGAAGGGCAATTACAAATACTTCGTGACAAACTAAAAATAAAAATAGAATGATTATTTCAAGGGAATACTTTCTATGTTTTAACTAATTTATTGGACAAAACTATCTTCGCATGACATGCCTCACATGAAGCATATTTGGCATGACACGTGTCTCGTCACCACAATTAAACCGAGTAGCATTTTAACACGTGTGACGCACGGGATTAAACAAAATTTTGTTGATTCTGTAATTTTTTTCAAGGCTCAATTCCTTTAACTTTTAACTCTTTGGATTCATTTGGTTGGGAGAAAAAATACTCCCTCCGTCCCATCAAGATAGGAGCGGTTTGACTAAAGTAGTAAAATAAGAAGGGATAATTTTGTATTGAATTTCCAAAAATACCTTTGATGTGATGAGTAAAAGTAGGATGTGATGTGTAGATTATTAGAAAAAAGATATGATGTGATAGGTAGGATATGAAAAGGTAAGGGGTAAACGTGGGTTTTTAATAGAAATGAGAATGACTTTAAGGGACGCAATTTTTTTAAAACCGGAATGACTTTATGGGACGGAGAGAGTATTTTTTAAAAAAAGTTACATTCAAATTTTTTACATTTGATTACATAAGTTGCAAGAAATCTTTTATGACTTTCTTGGAGGATGAGTTGTTGAGTTATTCCTTCCTCTTCTTATATTTTCCCTCTTGGTTTTAGTTTTGTTTTGATTTATTTTGGGTCTTTTTGTTGGTTGTACAGAAGAGAAAGAGATAGAATATTGATAATTAAGAATGAGTTATTCGAGAGAGAGAAAGTGGAGTAGGAATAGTTGGTGGAGAAGAAGATCGGTTTGTAAGATTTTGATCTAGTAACAATAGAGCTGTCTATCCATCAACAATTACCGACTGTGTTTTTATTGGCAACAATTGGATTCGGGAGAGTCAGAGTTATAAGGTTTAGTGATAATGGATGGCTAGAATAAGGATCAGAATAAGCATAGATTAACAGAGAAGGGGTTGAAAATTTTTAGCCATGATGTAGGAGAAGAATGAACAACTTTGAGAGTATATTTGCTGAGTTACATTCTTTTCCAGGGAGACTGTTGGCGATTATATCGCAGCGAGGACGTGAAGTTTTTTTGTCGTTCTCTGCTTCTCTATTTCTTTCCATGATCTCGAACTCTAGAAGAAACGCAAACAGATGTAGTTTTCTAGCTCTTCGATCAAGTACATGATTTTTTACTGAGAGATAAGGGGATAATCGGCAGCATCTACTAGGCACGATCATAGTTTTTTGGAAAGAAAGAAAAGGATACAGGACAACAGCTCTTAGGCACACTCGCTGAGATTGGTGGCGGCTGTTAAGCACGCTCTCTGTTTTTGTGGAGAGCGAGAAACCCTTGCTCTGATAGTATGACGGTAAAATAATGAAATAATAGATTTACTTAAGAATAATGAAGCATACAATGTATATATATAAAAGCATTCCTAAATAGAAATCAAACATAAAAGCTGAGTAAAAAACAAGCACTGCTGTAATTAATACTTCGGTGGGGTTCACGTGGCAACCGCACTCCGGTGCCACTGTTATTTTGGGACACTTCCAGTGCTCCGTTCGCATTGCATAATAGTCACACATTTGGAGGGAGGCTTAGGGGAAGCAGGGGTGGGGCCGTGGGGGTAGGGATGGGTTGGGATTGGGGGTTTATGGAGTGGTTAGGGGGATAGAAACCATCAATTTTGAAAATGGAGCACCAAAGTGGCCAAAATCGGGTGAGTGTCATCCGTTGACACTGGATTCCAGTGTCAACAGAATCCAACCCTTAATACTTACTCCCTCCGTCCCAGAAAACATGGGAGTTTTGATTTTGAAGAAAGATTTAAGAGGAGTGTAATTTGGTATTAAATTTCCAAAAATGTCCTTTGATGTGATGGGTAAAAGTATGATTTGATGGATAGATTATTAGTAAAAAGGTATGATGTGATAGGTAGGGTATGAAAAAAGTAAGGGGTAAAAGTGACTTTTTAATAGAAATGAGAAGTGTTTTTTGGGATGGATGAAAAAAGAAAGGAGAAAAATTTTTTGGGACGGGGGAGAGTATATTATTATTGTCTAACAATCCTAAAACTTCCCTTTCAAGTTAGATGATACTTCGTATAGAAATATTCGTTTGACTTTCATAAGTTTTAACACAAATATTGAAAAAAATAATGTTTATGATTCATTTCGGTAAAAGAAAAGTCTTGTGACTAACGTTTTCATTTAAGGGGAGAAAAATCATATGAATAAATTTTTTTTACTGAGGTCATCATATGAATATTGTTAGTGGATGTAATTAGGTTTTGGTATTATTAGGCATGTTAGTAGAGTTGTAATTAGGTTAGCGTTTGCAAATTATATTATACATCCGGTTGTACCTAATTTTGGGTACAACCAAGAAATTATTTATGGTATGAATTTTATTTTACAGGAGAATGAATGCTAAGTTATCTAAGAATGAGTATTGTTTTGTTTCAGAATGAATATTACATTATTTGTAGATGAATATTATAATTATATTGAGCCAATGTGTGAAAATGAGTACTGCATTATTTTAGAATGAGTACATGCTAATAATATTTGTGCGAGAAAATAGTACTACTCTACTTCAGAATGAGTACTACCCGAATGTACCATACATCTGGTTGTACCATATACCTTCTCGTTAGAGTTATGTTTGTATAAATAAAGCGTTTGTGATCAATATATTCTTCAAGTTCAGTTCTGATAATATTTTGCTACCACATCTCAACAGCATAACATGTTGATGTTCCGTACGTCTATGCCCGGCGGGTCTCAATAGACGTTTTGTTAAGCACTTTGAAGAGTAATAGTAAGGAGGAGAAGGAGATAGGAGGGATACAAGGAAGAAAGCCTTGCGGCCGTAGGGGGGAAGAATGATATTTAGGGTTAAGTTCTTTCTTAATTATCCTTCTCAAAAAACTTACATCTCAATATATAAGGATACGAGATGAAACCCTAAAACTAAATTATCTAACCTGTCGGTTCAAGAAAAGCATCGAGGTAAAGAACCGAAAAGAAACCCTCGAAGGAGCTTATAATACGCTCACCTAATGAAAATCTAAAATACAATAAATATTAAAAAGAAATATTATTTAAACGTAATCCTTGTACCGGGCCGGTGGTTTGGACACCCGGCCCGACCTTCGCGGCATCTCCTCATGTTCCTCCGCATCTACATGCTCCGCCACTGCCGTATCCTCAATATCCTGACCCGTATCA